ACATGTACAAAAGGATGAACAACTAAAACGGAAAGCTATACATTTACACTTTATTAATAATCGATCTCCTTTGCCAACTGAAATATAAATAATACAGATGAAGTATATTTTATATCGTACACCTTTCATATTCGTAGATACCAGTAATAGATNACATGTACAAAAGGATGAACAACTAAAACGGAAAGCTATACATTTACACTTTATTAATAATCGATCTCCTTTGCCAACTGAAATATAAATAATACAGATGAAGTATATTTTATATCGTACACCTTTCATATTCGTAGATACCAGTAATAGATAAACATGTGGGGAACAGAAAAAAAAAACAAGATCTCGTTTTTGCCTCTCCGTACACATTCTATTTCAAAAATTCAGTTTAAAAACATAACTTCAAATACTCCGCAATCCTTTATTACTTTGTAGCTTATTTTTTTCCTCATCATCGTCTTCATTTTCTTCCTTTAAGTATTAATAGATTAATATAAGTCGAGCTGGGATCGGTTATACACCAATCGAATTAGTTCATACACTGTAACAGTCGTATTCTTTACAATGTTCGTACGTAAGTCTTGTAGCAGAGACAAAAGCGCAGGTGCCCTATCGCACTCATTTTTTTTTCTTTATATGCTCATCTGAACCTCCGGTGCCACCACAATGAACCTCACATCTGCATTGCGTACTCATCGTAGCTATGTTGTTTTCCCACTCAGATATCCTACACAGTAAGACATCGTCTCTACATGACAGACCATGCCTCCATGTACACGCGTGTATTGAAATTATACAACATATATTGGTCAGTGAAACAAAGGAAAATTGTTTACACGGATTCTTGATCTTAGCGTTAGACCGAATTCATCCAATGAGAGCACCAAAGGTTGCGGTCCATTAGCGAAATACACAATTTTTGATCCTCCAAATCTCGTCAGACGCACTAGCGCACTGATTACTACTACCAAAATCATGTATGAGATCGGTTCAAGTCCCGAACAGTTAAGTGTATAAAATTGTTGCAGGACACCTGTACTACACAATACGACGCGCAAGGCGCTTTCAGTTCCATCAAGTCAGGCACGCCTGGCTTCTGAACATTAATACACATTGTCGCTGCTGGTAAAAGTATCAGTGTACTGTGTACAGGTTCTGCATGCGCAAATCCATGTTCTATCGAATTATATGGGAAAGAATATAATTATGAATAGGCGGCATGGCTTGGCGCACGCATAACGTGTGCACCCTCAATCTACCTAGACTGAACAAAGATCTTGTGAACGATCTTGTTAATTTAAATTTAATCGCTCGCTCGGTGGAACGAGTTACAAAGTATTTAGGGACATCGTTAATTTACACTCCAACAACTGCTTTCATTATTTATAAGCGCGGCGTTACCATAAAATTTGTTGCAGTCTATTTTGCTTCCTATTAGACTTGTTCGTGCCTCTCTTTTTTCCATCATCTTTATTTTTTCCTATTTTTTTTTTAGAAAAACATAGCACATCTTTGTACTTGAAGTAAACCTAATAATCTCCTACAACCACACAATATTCGGAGAAAGATATTCGAGACTTTTAAATGCGCTACACTTGTTTCATTTTCTTTCATCACTTCATGATTTACGGCAAACGTTCAACAAAAAAAATGCTAGAGAAATCGTATCTAAAAGTTTTTCGTTCTAGAACTTATAAAAAAAGATTAGTGCAGTACTTTATACATGAAAATATAACTCCGTTTTTTTCTGTGATGTATAAATAAAAGGATTATTAGAATTAGTCACCAGCAACGACCAGAGTATATCTAGCTTTTTACAGTACAAAATACAGCTCCTGCACATATGTATGTATATATGTATACACATATGTGCATATATATATATACATATACCTAGTAACGAAACATTTCACCATGTGTAAGGATATAGTAAGGTAAAATGCAATTGCATCCTTTTGAAGTCCGTAGTAATTGTTAATGGTATGAACATTGGTGACGCCCAATACAACAATTATGATTTTTAGGTACAAAATGTGCAAACTTGTATAGACTTCTGTGTTTATATGTATATATACATATATACGTTGCAATAACCACTGAGATCATACCAGTACTTACATTCATTTTCAGTTTGAGAATCTGACATAAAAAGCACGCTTATGTCCTAGTTTTTTTTCAGAATCTAGCATATAGACCAAGTATAACTGTATATAAACCTGTAAACACTGACGATCTTACAATTGTGCAGGTTTTGCTGAGATCTGAAACTAGGTTCGTTATAAAAGTAATGATTCAATGATCCTCAATTACATCCTTACACACAAAAAATTGGCGTTACTAAACCTTATTTATATGTATTCAGGGCCGGCATGTTCATTTCCTTTCCCATTAATTCTGAATTTCTTAATTTTTTTCTTGAGTTGCTAGAGAGTTCGAGAGGGAGGACCGGATACAAGATGCGTGGATGTGAGAAAGGAACATAATTTGCTTGACTCATCACAATTTTTGTCATTAATTATTGTATCCCTCTCTGGTACAAAAAATGTTAACTGTCTCGTTAATTTCATCATCTTGTTGTTTCAATATGAACCACTAACGAACATAATAATATTGTCAGTTAAGCTGACAAAATATAGCGTTATAAATGTTGATCTTATTGAATTTTTTTTTTCATAAAGTATATTAAGAATCCATACATCTTGCATCACAAAATAATGCGCGTACGAGATAGTTTGAAGGTCAGGGGACAGAGGATTCATGTCTCTACTCTAATTCAATCGAATGTTTATAATATTATTACATTGTAATAGTGTGTGTATTCATGTAATGCTTGAATGTGTCCTATGTGTAAATGTACTTTGTGCGCGCGCGCGCATGTATGGTGTAGTGTAACAGCAATAAAAACAAAGACATCATAAGAAAAAACCCTTGCGAAGAGAACAACGATGTTTAGAGGGGAAAGAAACTAGGAATAAAATGGGCTTCCGGGAGTTGGGCATGGAGAGATTGAAATTCGAACGATTATGACGAAACGCGTTTTTAGCGATTATACGCATCAACGAGACATACGTTCGCATATCCCTACCTAGCTACAATTCCCGGTAGTAGCGCGCGCGACGGTAAACGGCTTATCGTTAAGCGAGCGGCACGGATTCCGGTTATATCCTACTTCCTGTCATCCTGATCACAATCACGGCTTATGTGACCAGTTTTGCCACAAATGTAGCACGTTTTTCCACCAGCTTCGGTACAGTTGCGGGCAATATGACCTGTCTTGTTACAATTGTAGCAACTTTGCATGGCAAAGCGTCCTGAATCATTGCCACCCTCAGGGCAGCTACGCGCAATATGACCAGTCTTGTTGCAGTTGAAACAGCTCATCTCGGGCCCCTGTTCAAAGTACTCAAGATTATGATACAGTATGGGCGCAACATAATAATTTTATACTAATATTTCTTATAAAATTTCTTGTATATTATGTTACGTAAAGAATTTGCAAATACGAAAATATATAATAAAAGAAATTAAATTTAATAACCTGTTGGCAGTCTTTTGCAATATGCCCAACACCGTTGCAACGGTAGCAAAGGTCTTGATCTTCTTTGCATTCACGTGCAAAGTGTCCAAATTGGTTACACTTATAGCATTTGTCACGACCTCGTACGAATCCACCTTCTCGGTCACGTCCACGGTCACCTCTAGCACCGGCACCGCCGCCTTGTGGGCACTCTCGTGCATAATGACCCATCCGGTTACACTTGTAACAAGCGCTCGAACTCATGTTTTATAAATCTGGAAAAGTAATTATCCAATCCATTGTACACAGTTTGCGTACAAGCTTGTATATATAAATTTTGGTGCTTCATTAACAGTACATACTGCTTTCATTACTTTTACACAGAATAATATGTGAGTCATCTGATTAAATTATTATATAATACAATTATAATCACATTCCATTGGCAACTAGAATGTAAAATGGTGAAACCATTCTTGACTCAACAAAAATAGGTTATTATACGGTTAAAATTAAATAAATTAAATAATTTAATTATTGGAAAAAAATAGATTACTATTATTATAAATATTACAATACGTAATATTTATACAAAATTTTAATGTTCAGATTTGTATGCCTATTATTATTGAGAAAAGTTTTTTTGTTAATAAAAATTTCGTAAAAAAAAAAGATGGACTAAGAAATATAAAAACGGGATATTACGGTTGAACTATAAAGAGCGACTAGGAGAATCGGACAAATCGGGGTGGAAATTACTCTCATTTTAATATCTCTAAAAAAAAAAATACCAAAAATCGTCCGTATATAATTAACATAAGGAGAAGGCATCTGACGAAATACATGCTATTTTGAATAACAGGATAAAATGGCATCGTGCATCCATCCATTCTCGGGGAGTACATAGAATACACGTGTCCGTGGTAAGCGTCATATACGATGGACTCCATTTCCGATTTCGGAAATTTCAGCGAGCACAACGATATTTTACGAACGGATAAGTATTCGCTCGATATTATTTTTCCGTGAAACCCTCAAAGAATTGCCGTCCATCATACAACGTGGCTCTATCGCCCCCACTTTGCAGTGGTGGTACGCAAGTACGCCACGGCGCGAAGATGGCATCCAAGACTGACGCCGTACTGCGCTTTTTTTGCCTGGCCAAAGGAAAGATTGGCCGAGGGCGAGGTATACATGCATAGGAAAACGCGGCGAGGCGAATTGGCCGACGAAAATGAATTTTCTCCGCAGAATTGGCGAATCGAAGGAAATATTCATTTACCGTGGAACGAGAAATTGGACCGAAGAAGACTAGGACCACGTGTGGAATTACACGGAAAGAACCGTAGAGACGAAATCATCGCGGTATGCAACGTAGTTCTTTGGTGCCGGTGTAGCAACTTACCTTAAGTGCTTGATGTATATGCACGATGAATCCTCCTTCCTTTGGGCTTCGCCGACGCGTCGGGGACAATGGGTCCGCGAGAAGTAGTGTTTTCCTGGGAAAACTCGAACCGATACTCAGCCGGATGATTGCGGTGACCATCGACTACAAGAGGGAAGACTGGCCAATCGTCGCTATGTTGCCCGCCAAACTCCCGTTGCAACTGTGGCGACTGTGGCGACGTCTTCTCCCAAATTCGTTACCAGAGGGCTGCACACAATAACCATTTCCTCCAAATTGCTCGACAACATCGAATTCGTTTTATGAAAACACCATTTTAGATGAGAATATTTCGAGATTTATGGTCGAGCCCGTCGGAGAAACTTTATTAAGTTAATTAAATTATATAGCAGACCTCAAATGAAACGTAATATTCTCCTCTTCCTCTTTCCTCCTTGCACCAAACGTGAACTTCAATCACTGTACTATCGGATACGAACACCGCGACCTCTACCCACAACTATTTGTGACCAACATGAAAAAAAAATAAGTTCGTAGGTTCCCCTCTTTAGTGAGATTCATTGAGACTGCCTTCACGTTCAGTGACTTGATAATACATATGTACGTGTATGTAAATACATATGTACGTTACGATTAGAACTGTATGCATGTTCTAGAACAGGGCTCGGAATTAACTGCACGCAACAGAGACGGAGCATTTTCGGAGACTGCTCTGAAATATGCTACAGGAGAGATCTCACAAATGGGATTGGATGATATCACTCTGCAGCACATTTCAAAGCAGTCTCAGAAAATGCTCTGTCTCTGTCGTGTGCAATTAATTCCGAGCCCTGCTCTAAGACGTTACGATTTTATTGAAGATTCGAGAAATGAAATACATATTGTAAAATAATACAAGTATTCAACCTTTTTTCAGCTTCGTTAACTTATTATCTTTATCCCACGTCACATCCAATGGTACTATATTTTTTGTTTTTAGCCAGAAAAAAACCACCAATAAAACATTAATTGTATGTACATACATATGTACTTGATAATGTCTCGCTGTGTCCCCCGAATATGCAATGGCGTATCCGAATTGTTGTATTATGCTAAATGATAAAACAGATGTATCTAAAAGTTAAAATTTTTGTGTGTGTTATATTATTCTATTTTATCTAACTTTCTTCTGAAATTCAACATGAATTAAGGACAATTTCCACATCTATCTTGTCACTGAGGAGGATTAAGGTCAATTTTATATGCCTTGAAGTTAGTTGCACTTTTTCTTAAACGATTTCTAATCTGTACATTCTGTATGTATATATACGTATATGTACATAAGTCCGATTGTACATATATACGCACACATGCTTGCTTACGTATACGTACACACAATGTAAATACATACATACATACTTGCAATTGCATAGGCGCTGTAAGCAAGTATATACTAACCTCTAATGTGAATGTTCTAATTGTCAAATAAGAAAAAGTAAAAGCAATTTTTAGAATATCAATAAAAGTCAAAATAGTGAAATTATTATTGTTGCATATAAAATTAAGTAACTAATTTCTTTAATTGCAGTCAAAAGTTAAAAAATATATTAGGATTAGTTACGTCTGGACAAGTTTTTGTTTAAAATTAAATGTAATGTTTTAATTCAAACTTGTCATATAACGGTTAAGACATTATGTCGCTGTACGATGATTTTGACAAACATCGAACATCCGAAAAGGTGGCTGGATGGTCCTCTAGCATTAAATTATTACAATCTCAATTACAATTAAAAAAAGCGGCGACTACACAGGTAAATTTCTTGTATGATAGCAAGCAAATTATAGCAATTTTTTAAATTGTTACGTTAGAATTTTAAAATTGTTATGTTATGTACATAGCCGAAACGTGAACAATATAGGAAAGCTACAGCAGTATTAGCACCTGTAATAGACTTAAAATCAAAATCAAATCGAAATGTTGATAGAGATGATGATGGGCCACATAGTAATCCACTTTCCTCCAGTAGTGTTAGTAGTATTGGAATCGGTGGTGAATTTGATTGGAATGTAATAAATGAGTACGATCCTATGTGGCCTAATGAATACGATAAAGTTGTTAAAGAACTGAGAGATTTACGCGATAGGGAACACGATCAAGAAACGGAGATGCGTAAGAGAAGACGCGATAGCTCACGTTTTGAAGATACTCAAGTAATGTATATTATGATATGCATAAAAAAGATTGTATGCACGAAGTGACATAAGTATATTTTTAGACTTCTTCGGGAAATAACACAATGATACCTCCTGAGAGAGATGAAGAAAGAACTCCAACATCTAGAGGTATTGCAGGTGGAGCAGCTATAGCACCACCACCATCTTTACAAGAACCTTCTGATCTGCCACCTCCAGCACCAAGACAAACAACTAATATAGGATATGCGACATCATCTGTGGCAGCAAAAATAATGGCCAAATATGGTTTTAAAGAAGGTCAAGGGCTTGGTAAAAAAGAACAAGGAATGTCCGTTGCCTTACAAGTAGAAAAAACTAGTAAAAGAGGTGGAAGAATTGTTGGGGAAAGAGAACAACTTATGCCTCCTCCACCACCCGTTGCTGTTTCTCCACCTCCGCCACAACAACCTTCATTACTACAGCCCTCTGAAGAACCTAGTATTACAGAAATAATGAAATGCCCAAGCAAGGTGAATATTCAAATATATGAAATAATTGTGAACGTTATGAATGCTTTAAAATTATTTTTAATACGACTATTTGAAACTATAATATACTATTTAGGTTGTTCTACTGCGCAATATGGTTGGCCCTGGAGAAGTGGATGAGGATCTTGAACCTGAGGTTAAAGATGAATGTAATACAAAATATGGTGATGTTGCTCGTGTTATTATTCACGAAGTAACAGAAGCTGCTGCAGAAGAAGCTGTTAGGATATTTGTAGAGTTCAAAAGGATAGAAAGTGCTATTAAAGCTGTTGTTGATTTGAATGGACGCTTTTTCGGAGGAAGACAAGTAAAAGCAGGTTTTTATTCTAGTGAAAAACTTGATAATTTACAACTAATGGATTAACTTTTTATTGAAAAACATT